ATCCTGTAGGCCATCTCTCAAATAGCCGGAGTCTGATCTCTGCTGACTCTTACCAGCTGTGTAGCCTCCTGCCTGATCTGATAGGTTTACTTTTTGCCTCAGAGTAGCCGACTGGATCCTTTAAAAATATGAGTCAGAGCCAGTGTGGCAGGCAGTCCTGTAAGCTCAGCATTGGGGAGGCTGAGACAAGAGGATCACAAGTTTCCACCCAGCTCAAGCAATTTAGCAACTTGGTAACTTGGTGAGACCCTGCCTCAAAAAAAAAAAAAAAAGAAAAAGAAAAGTTTTTTAAAAACTGAAAAAAGGGATGGAGATGTAGCTCAGTGTGCAGACCCTGCCTTCCACCCCCAGTAACACACACACACACACACACACACACACACACACAGTCAAGGGCTGCCACCCATCTGTCCAGAACCTTCTGTGGCTTCCTGTCGAATGAAAGCCACTGTCTTTCCAGTGCAGTGTTCCCCATGTGGCCCCCTCCCCTCTGACCTAGTTACTATCCCATTCCTGGCCTCCTGCCTCTTCTCCTGAGGGGGATGCTCCCGCCTCGCTTCTTTGTGTCAGCATCACTTGGAAGTAAGCTTCTGAATGAAGTTCTTAACACCTTGTATGTGACGTCTTCCCACTGGAGTTGTGAAGAGACCATCTGTGCTCTGCTGGAGCTTGATGGCTTTGTCCTTTTCTGTCCCTGCGCCCACCTGCAGCTACTTGTGGGACGTGGGTACAGTAAAGATGGATGTAACCGTCTCCCGCTGACCCTCCCATGGGAACAGCAGGAGGGACATGCCCTCCTCTGCATGTCTGTCTCGTCGTGTCCCCACGCATGCTTCCCTTTTGGACCTGTGCTTCCGGTCCAGGGGCTTTCTTTCCATCTCTGTGTGGCTGCGGCCTTTTGTTAGCTTTTTTCATTCAGCAGAATGCATCTGAGCCTCTGTTTGCTCTGAGGAAATGAACTTTGAATGTGGTAAGGACAAAGGGAAAGAAGGAAACATTTGAATTTTTGGGGTCAGGAGACGATTGGTGTGTCTGGAACCTATTAAAGTAGGGTTGCCAGACTCTGCCCAGATCTGGCCTGCCACCTATTTATTAGTGTGGCCTACGGTTAAGAATGGTTTTTACCCTCCTCCCCCCATCGGCCTCAGGGCCTTGCGTATGGTAGGCGAGTGGTCTACCAGAGCTACACCCCAGTCTTTTACAAATTTTGAGACAGATCTCCCTAAATTGCTTGGGTTTGTCTCGAACTTGTGATTCTCCTGCCTCAGCCGCCCTGGTAGCTGGGATTACGGGCATGTAGGAATGTGCTTGCCTCTTGCATTTTACATTTTTAAGCAGTTAGAGGAAAACATAAAATCTCATGACCCAGGAAACAGGTATGAACTTTAAGTTTTTGTGTCCACAGTGGAGCTGTAGGAGAATGCGAATGTGTTCCCGTGTCCAAGTGTCACTGGCTGCTGCTTGCGTGCTGGCAGGGTCTGCAGAGCTGTGGTGCAGACTTTCTGGGTGTCGAAGCCTGTAGTGGAACATTATATAGCTCCAGTCAGGCCCTTTATGGAAAATTTGTGCTACCCTGCTAAATGGATTGGTCTGGGCCAGTGGGGACAGCTTCAACGCCTGGAACGTGACAGGGTAGACTGGGGTGTGCCGAGCAGAGGTCTGAACTCGGCAGAGCGGGGTTGCAACATCTCGCCCTAGGCTGTTTGTGGCAGGAGGTAGAAATGTGTTTGTTTTTTGTTTCAGCTCAATCTAGCCTGGTCAAATCAGTGAGCAAGGTTTATGGTTTTAGATAACAGCCAGAGATTGTTATTTTAATCTCTGAACTTGTGTGTATTTTAATCATTTTTCTCAGTGACAGTAGTTAAACTACTCTGAACCACATATGCCAGCTTTTAATGAACTGGAAGGTATTAGAATAAATCTTTTAACAAGGGTGAGCGTCTTAGTCTCAGCATTACAATGACTAGCATTTAGCTTCCTTTCCAGTAGGAGGTCCCAGCTGATGAATTAGCTGTAAAATGTGTGTACATACAGTGAGTTAGGCCATCTGAGCTGTGACATATAATCACAGGTAGTTTTCTTCAATTTTACTCAAGCAGGACTTGCCAAGATTAAACCTACAGATCTGTTCAAACTTGAAGGAAATGAAATTCTACCTTTTGTGTAAGTCAAAGGATTTTTTTGTCTGTAATGTAACATTTCATTTATACATTGTCTTCAGGGTATGCATTCCTATGTAATAGGAATGTCTAATGGCTGAATTTTAATTGTCTTTGTAAGTTCTTTCTGCCTTCTGTGGAAGAATAGCTAAGCTTTTTAAGGTCTTTATGAATATTTTTTGTTGTTGTTAGTCTGGTTAACGAGAAATGACAGCAGTCATTAATGTCTGTGATGTAGGACTGACTGACTTAGCTAGTTATTTTGTGTGGCCATTAGGCGGAAGTAGTTTAAGTGTTTACATTATAGTCTCATCTTAAAATGTGACCATTTTTCCAGCCTCTGTGTCTAGGCTGCATGGTTCTCGATGGGAACCCTGAGCTGGTACCTCTTCGGGGTGCTACATCGCAGAGCATGGCCCCCACCACGTCACAGAACCGTGCGAGCGCAGGTCACTCTGCTTGTGCCAGCTCTCCTGCTGTTTAAACGTACCTTGAGTCAGTTCCACAAGTGAGTGCCTCCTGGGGCCTAGAGGGACAGAGAACAGGAAGGTACTTGCAGTCTTTTCCTGGAGCATAGAGTCCAGCTGGGAGAGCAGACACATGACCATCAGTGATGTGGGTGCATTAGTTGTAGTTCCAGGGGGGCGCAGAGATGGAAGCCAGCGCCCCTGGATAACAGGGACCACTGTCCCTGCATAGTGAACAGATGGTTGTGTTGTGGCGTGCTAGCTGCTGTCATGCGGGCTTCTCCTTTAGTAGCTGTTGATAGTTCATCTGGACTGCAAGAGTCCTTTCGCTGGCTTTAGTTCAGTTACACACGTGTGTGTGTATGTGTGTGTGTTGAAAGCATGACACACATATGACACACTAACATGAGACAATGGGAGCAGCTCAGAGCTAGCTGGCGAGTGCTATTCTTTGATGGGAATATCAGTTTTCCTGAGAATGATGCTTTTCTCCCACCTTGTGCAGCCTGTTTCATTGCAGGTTTTGCCGTAGTGATGACAGTTCTGATTGTCACAGGTTTCAAGGACTGACCCTGCCTTGGAAGGAAGGCTTTGTAGTGGGAAGATTGGAGCCCCCTGGAAAGGCAGGGCACAGAGGAGCAGCCGGAAGAGGCCACCCTGGCTTATCTAGCGTAGGCGTGTGCGAGTGCAGATTTCTTAGCCTTCTGAGTAGAGAAAGGAGGTATCATTATGGGTTATTGAAGTTGTAGAGCTCTATTTTTATTTGTAACATTAAATAATAAATCATTAAAGCTTTGTATGGTGGAGTTGGATGCATGGTCTGCCATCGCGGCTGTGGCCACCTTGGTGTTCTTCGTCGCGCCTGAGCACTCTGCGGAACATTCAGACTCCTGAGGCCACCTGGGGAGCATTAGTGAGCACTTCTCACGGCAATGTTGTCGTGAGAATGTCTCATGTACTCAGGCGTTTCATACAGTTGGTGAGGCGCGTGTGAATGCTGTACCCTTGAGTTGTGCCCTTTTCATCAGGTCCCTTACCCCAGAGACACTGGCACTTAGGCTGACTGGGGGAGATCTAGGCACAGTATTTTATGTATTTCCAAATTTTTAGTTGATTAATTTATACTGTGCTTCTTTTTAAAACAAACTTCAATTGTCTAGAAAAATGCAGTTAAAAAGATGAAAGATAGTGGAGGGAACTAGGGATATAGTTCTGTGCTAGAGGGCTTGCTAGAGTTTGATCCCCAGCACCAGCCAAAGACCAGACCAGACCAGACCAGACCAGACCAGACCAAACCAGATCAAAGCAAGGGAAGAAACTGGAGAAAAGAGAAAAGCCTGATAGGAAGAAGACTCATACTATTGTTAAATGTGACTCCAGGCTTGCCAAGGGCCTGGACAGAGAGGGAAACAAGCCAGGTAGTTTTTGTCTCTCCACAGACCAGACACAGCAGTGGCCTACAAGAAGTCCCGGTGCTGAAACTTGGGGATAGGAAGGGACCGTCTGTGGAGCATCGTTGCCAGGCCCCAGCAGCTCGGGGTCATCAGTTTAGAGCTGCAGTTCAGCTTCCTTGACCTCTTGCTTGATCCAGGGATGAAATAAATGTCGGGTCCTGTGATTACCCAGTGAGAGGAGAGACATCTCACACTGTCCGACATTCTACTGTTTTCAGGTTGCTGTTTCTTTAGGGGATTTAAGGTATGAGGAAGTTGGCTCACATTTAGGGGCTGGGTTGCACAAAACAGTTTTTATCTTCAGAGCTCTGGAGGCAGAGGCTGGAGAGGCTGCCACAGGGTCACCTCCTCAGCCTGTGCTCCTGGTGGGAGATGGGCGTGCTCCGCTCCCCGCCTCTGCCTCTGCCCTGTGTGTGCGGGCTTCTGCCCTCCGTGCGTTGGGGTGGGTGGTGCACCTGTCCTCCAGGCCGCCCTCCTGAATGGTTCTCACCACGGGCTTAGTGCACATTGGGTGGTGGGCAGGCTCGGGTGCGTGAAAAGTCCTCGGAGGTACATTTGGGTTTTCTGGGGTGGGGCCCTGGCAGGGGTCATGGTGCCTGTGCCGGGGGCCAGCTCTCCAGTCATTGGCTGCGTGGTATTATTCCACTGTCTCTCCATGGTCCTTACGTCTCTGTAAGCTGGTGAGGCCAGCACTGACTGGTTATCAGGAAGCCTAAGAGTGAGGGCACACGGAAGGGCGGGGCAGTGCCTGGGGTGGTAGGTGCCTGCATGCAGCCGTGGGCTTGTGTTGGGGTGAAGGAGCTGGCCCCAGCCGAGGAGCCCACCTCCCCCCGGATGCCTAAGGCCATTTCTGGACAGATCATTGGGAAACTGGAATCTTCTTTCTTTTTCTGCTTTGTAACAGTTTTGTCTTCTTTCAGAGAAACAGCCCCCAGGACAATCTTCCAGAGAGTCTTGGATATCTTGAAGAGATCTTCTCATGCTGTTGAGCTGGCCTGCAGGGACCCGACCCAGGTGGAGCATCTGGCTTCCAGCCTGCAGTTGATAACAGAGTGCTTCCGTTGTCTCCGGAATGCTTGTATAGAGTGCGCTGTGAACCAGAATTCCATCAGGTAGCATTCCTCCTGGGACGCGTGTACTGCCCAGTGTATTTCTTTCATTTTTGTGCATGCCGGTTCTGTCATACGGGACTTTCTGTTGAGTTGTGGCTTTGGTATTACACATTGTTTTTCCAGGACTGTCCCTTACTGCCATAGGCGAGAAGGCCATCCTTTTATATGTCTCACCCTTAGAGTCAGTTAGGGCAGCGTCTGAGGCCAGCATGGAGCAGAATGTGTTTAGCCTTAGAGTTATTTAGATTCCCCGCTTGCATTTGTAGCATGTTTTAAAGTTTGGGGTTCTGTATCTAACGACGATTTAAACTTGAGCATGATTCTTTGAAGATTCTGCCTGCCTGTGTTCACATGCAGTTCTTAAGCTCACTTCTCTTAGCTGCAAATGTTTGCTTGAGTCACTTGGTGCTTACTTTGAACAAGAAGCAGGTTTTGTAAATTTTGAAGGTGATTTGTCTTAAGAACCTAGAGTTCCAAAGTCTAATTTCATGTATTTTATAACATGTATGTTTTAAAAAGTAATTAAGCAGTGAGGGAGAGATCACCCCACACTTCTTTTATTTCTTGGTCTCTCCACCTAGAACCAAGCCTCTTTCCTTTTTGATTTGGTGGAATCTGCTTTTTATTAACATTTTCACTTTAAGTCAGAACCCGCAAGCTAGAAGCCTAGACTTTCTGTCCTGGACCTTGGTGTGGAGCCTCCAGGCCTTTCTGCCGCTGCATGATGGGCGAGGCCAGGCTGGTCCAGAAGCCGTTGGAGGGCTGTTCTCTGCGGCCTGACAGTCTCATGCCCCAGGCTTTCATATGATTAATGAGCTTTGTAGATCAAAGGAGCAGGGAAAGGCTGAGGTTAACTGCAGCGCCAAGCTAAGCCTGCCGTCCATTTGCGGAAAAATGGATTGAAACGGTAATAATCTTGCTAATAATAGTTAATATTTTAAAACAGGACTAGTTCTGTGCTCGAAGCATCTGGCCAGAGAGCTCTTATCTTTTCTCCTTTTCCAGGCAGGGAAGCACTCTAAAGTGGTGTGGAAGGGAAGTCACATCCCTCTGCTGGCCTCTGGGCAGGGATAGCGCTGCAGGACCACGCTTTGTCGCCACACCCAGTCACAGTGTCAGGGGTAATTGTTAGGGCATCCTGAACACACTCCCAGTTTTCCATTTTTATAAGAGAAGAAGCAGTAAGAGAGATTAAAAAATACACCTGCAATGCACAAGAGCCCGGGCATGTTTTCTCCTCCAAGTAGCTCACTGTGAAACTTAGCCCAAGAGCAGGCCGCTCTTGCTGGCCCTGTGGCCCATGGATGGCCATCTCTCGCACAGTCACAGGACCCTGGACATGGGATTCGACAAGGCACACATCTGAGTCTCAGCTCTCTCCTCTGCGATACAGGCTGCCAGCGAGGGGGTGAGATTTCTTAGTAAGGTGCCTTGCGCAGGCTGTGTGCTGGGGATGACCTGGAAGGGCCAGGAGCGCACAAGCTTAAGGTAGTATTACTTTCTTTTGAAACAATTCATTTTTTTGAGCAAAATTCTAGTCAGAAATATAAGAGCACAAGTTATAAAAGAAACAAATATAAATATGACAACAAATAAAATAAAGCAGTCTTCCAGCATGGCCCTCCACGCAAGAGCACTGTGACAAAATGATAAAATTTACAATGATAAAATTTCTTGGGGGGCCAGGGAGATGGCTCAGTGGAATAAGTGCTTCCCTGGCAAGCATAAAGGTCTGAGTTCAATCCCTGGTTCCATAAAAAAAAAAAAAAAAAAGATAAAAAGCTCTTTGTTTATCAATAAAACTTTGAAAAGAAAAAAAAATTAAAAAAAAATTTCTTTATTGCACACAACTTAGGTTGGCAGAAATGAAAACTATTAAGGGCATTCGTTTTTCTGTCTCTGAATTTCTAGGATTGTGCTATCCTATAGTCACTATTGATTTCCAAAGGGAAATCCCAACCATTGAAGGCATTAGCTCCTGAATAACAGTTTTCTAGTCAGAAATAATAAGAGTTTGAGACTGGGCGTGGTGGTGTGCACCTGTAATCCCAGCTCTTGAGAAGCTGTAAACAGACGGATCACTACAAGCGTGATCTACGTAGTGAGACCCTGAATACCCTGCAGACCCCTCCCTAAAAAAATAGGAAAAAAATGTGTATATATTATATAGATATAGATATAGATATAGATATAGATATAGATTTCCAAAAAGAACTTCATGGCCAGCTTTAATTAACATCAGTATTTCTGAGCTGGTCAGGATTCAGATTATAAATTACACTTTTTTTCTGGCCTTTAAGTAAAGTTACCAAGGAATTAATCAAGGCATGGTACTTCGCAGGGCTGGATCTTTGTGTGTGAAAGGGAGTGAGAGACAGCAGAGCAAGCAATGTGCGTTGTGTGGTGCCTGAGGACACACAGGGAAGAGGGAAAGCAGTCCGCTCCGCATGAGTGTGGCTCCTTCGCTGGGTCGCTGCGCTGCTGCTGCTCCGGCCCGTGGATGCTGGAGAGGGGCTGCACTTGGTGCTGCTCACCTCCCCTGCTGCTGGGTGAGCGCAGCCATGGACGGTGTGGACGAGTGAGCCTGGATGTGTTCCAGGAAAGCTTCATTTTTGTACTTGGAATTTCGTGAAATTATCATGCTGTAAAGTTGTGGCCTTCTGATCTTTTTCTCCCAAATATTTAACACGGCAAACACCATTCTTAGCATACTTGCGGTACAGAGATAGGCAGCAGGCCCAGTAGCCTGGCAGTCATCTGTCCATGTAGAAGCAAGAGGGGGAGAGGTGGGACAGCCTCTTCCTGGGGGTGGGTGTGGAGCTCTTTCCCCAAGTCTTCATGAGAGAAGAGGGGAGGAGCAGTGCCCCTGACTCCCTGGACTTGAGGCATGGGGAGAAAACCACAGGCAGAGGGACCCTAACCACCACAAGCTCCTTTTCTCAAACCAAGGCTTACCACAGGGTTCTGGCATTCTAACTTACAGAGTGCAATCCTTCTCTTTGAAGAAGTCATAGAGTTGAGTTAGTGTTTCCTATTGCTGCTGTAACAGATTGCTGCCAACTTTGGGCTAGAAACAACAGTTTTTAATCTTACAACTCTGGAGTCCGTAAGTCCATAGTCAGCCCCTTGGACTGAAGTCAGAGGATCTGCAGGGCTGGTTCTTTCTGGAGGCTCTAGAGAATTTGTTTCCTTGTCTTGCAGCTCCTAGAGGCTGCCTGCTTTCCTTGGCTCATGGTCCCATCCTTCATTTTCAGAAGCAGCAGCAGTACTGGCCATGGCTGGCGTACACTTGACATTTTGGTATTCCAGGAGGCTAACTAGAGATTGCAAAGTTTAAGCTCAGCCTGGGCAACTCAGAGACTTTGCAAGAGTATCTCAAAATTTAAAAGGGAGTGGAGTGTAGGGGATATAGTTCAAAGGCCTGGGTTCAATCACTAGCACCGTACGTATATATACATAAAGATACAATAGTAGTGTAGCAGCTAACATCTCTCTCTCTTATTTAGACTTATTTTTTGTTTTTTTGGACTCTGATCTTCTTGGGTCCACTTCATGAGAACTCTTAAAGATTCACCCCACTTGGATAACCCAGGACAATCTGTATCTCAGACCATAATCATTTGATCACCTCTGCAGAGATCTTGACCCCATTCAATTCAGCTTCCCAGGCCAGCTGGGTCCTGAGAACTCACTTCTGTTCCGACCCATCTGGACATATCTTGGGGGAGTTAGTGGTATCGCCTCCCGTAACTTAAAGGCTCAGGTCAGAAGACTGTGAGCACTGCCGATGCTAGCTGGAAATGGACTGCCTGGAGTGCCGCTCTACATGGCTTGCTGCAAAACTGGGGGTGTCCAGCTGAGTCCCATGAGCGGTTCAGGTTTGATGAGTTTCTAGCAGTGCTCAGAGAGCTAAGCAAACTGGTCACATGCTGTTACGGCTCACTTGAGAGGATGCAACTCCGAAGTCCAAGTGGGAGACAGATACAGAACGGCACTGTGGGGGCAGTTGCCACTCTGGGGACACCTTTCTTTTCTCCAGACGCCTTTTTGCAGATGGGGTTGGTTAAATCCCTGGCCACTGGTAATGGAATTCAACCTTGAACTCCTCTCTTCTCTGTCGTAATGGGGTGCTCAGGCCAGCCGCCCTCCTGAGCTCTGCCTGAATGACTAATGTGGACTCAGGATCAGAAGGTGCCTGAGATGGATAACAGGAGATGCCCCCTTCACTGAGGATTATTAGCGGGTTGGGGGAGCGCTGTGACTGTGCCAGGAACCCAAGATCAGGAGCAGACACAGGTTTCTTACTATGTCATACTTCTTCCACCACATAGTACATTTGAGAAGTCCGGGCTTTACAATATGGACTTCTTTGGAGGATCGTTCTGTGGTTTAGCACAGTCTCTTTGCCCCTTACATCTGTCACACATGCAAAATAATGCTCGTCCAACCCAAGATCCCCCAAATTCTCAACCTGGTATAGCATGGACCCCCATTAGCGTGCCCCTAATCTCATCAGGTATGGAGTTAAACATTCCCGCACTCCTTGCTCACTGGTGGACCTGTGAGACCAGGAGACAAGGGTCTGCTCCTCAAGTGTACCAGGCATAAGGTGGCAGCCAGACAGGCATAGAATGGTGGCGTGGACACCCCCTTCCCTTTGCTTCCACTCCCTTGGGGGACGCAGTTCAGGGGAACTCTTGGCACTGCACGGTAGGGGTTGCTCCCCTCATCTCTGCTGGCACGCGCGTGTCCTTGCGAGCTCGCCCAGCAGCCCTGCGGGCCCCACATTTCTCCCAGCAATCTGCTTGAGCACTGTGGGCTTCTCTCAGTCCTGTTTCTCAGAGATCTGGAGGCTGTTGTCTCTTGCCAGAATCCAGAGCCTCACCTGCATGGTAGGTATTTGGGTGAGCAGCATGCCACTCCTGCTGCCCAAGTCTATAGCAGTTTCTTTGCTGCCATGACTAATTCCAACCACTTAATGGTTGAAAACGTCACACGTCTAATATCTTACCTGGATTCCAAAGGCTGAAAGGGGCTGGTAAGGCCGCGCTCCCTTCGGGAAGCTCCCCGGCAGAAAGTGTTTCCTTGCCTTCCAGCTTCCAGGGCCTGCTGCATTCCTTGGTCCGCGGCTTCATTCGGCCTGCCTCTGATTTATAAGGATGCTTGTAATTATATCGGCCCCCACATATCCAGGGCACTCTTCCCACCTCAAGATTCTTGGTTTTGGCCCCTTTTTGCCGCATAGGGTGATCCATTCACACGCTTGGGTGATGAGGATGTGGATTTCTCTGGAAGCTGTTATTCTGCCCACCACAGGAACTTCCGGCCAGTCGTGTCCACGTCATGCATTAAATCATCGTTTGAAATGCAATCTTAGGAAAAAGCATGTCTAATTTTGTCTTTTTACAACCTGATACAGGAACCTGGATACGATCGGTGTTGCTGTAGACCTGATTCTTCTGTTTCGTGAGCTGCGAGTGGAGCAGGACACCCTGTTGACAGGTAATTCAGAGTAGGGTCATGGAGGATTTGATATCTCGGGAAAAGGTTTTAAACCAGGGCTTGGTTCTGTCATCTGTTGGTGCACAGGTCCTGTATTTCGTAAGATGGGGCGACTTCAGTAGTGAGATTGTAGCAACGCAGAAAGTTGTGGTGACTTGTGCTTCTCCCTTCTCTTCCTCCTCCTTTTCCTCTTTCCTTCCTCTTTTCTTCTTCCTCCTGCTTTTCTTCCTTCCTCCTCGTCCTCCTTCTCTTTTTCCTCTTCGGGAGTACTAGAGACCTAAGGCTCACACATGCTAGGCAAGTGATCTATCCTGAGCCCATTTTGTTTTTGGAAACTTGCTCGAGTTGGGACTCAGACCCGTGATCTGTCTGCTTGGCCACCCCATAGCTGGTGTTACAGGCATGCACCGCCTTGCCTGCCTTCCTCGCACCTTGTTACGCTGCACCTTACTTAGTCTGTTTGGGCCTGTATGCAGTATACTTAGCCTGGGTAATTGGTAAGTAGTAGAAGTTTATTGCTCATAGTTCTGGGGGCTAGCAAGTTGGAGCTGAGGCCCCAGATTCTCTGTATGCTGCGGGCTGCCCTCTGGCTTAACGACATTGCTTTCTTGCTGTGTCCCCATGTGGTAGAAGGCCAAAGGGCCAAAGCCACTTTTCCTTCCAGGGTGCTCGTCTCAGGACCTAGACTTTTCCCGGGGGCTGCTGCTTCCCACCAAGGCACTGGGATTTGATCTTAACGTTGAATTTTGGAGTGACACGAATATTCTGGCCATGAACAAGTCCTAACCAGAGTATGGCTGTTTCTGGAGGCAGGTTTTTAAAGTGGTAATTACACCGAGGATGTTAGATGCTGTCCTTGAAGAGGAGTATCCTGTGTCATCCTGTCGTATGACATAGACTTACGCAGAGGAAAGAGCAGGTGAAGATGTAGAGAGAAGGTGGCTGTCCCATGCCACCCGAGAGGTCCTGGAGAAATCAGTGCTGCTGGTTCCTCAGCCTGGGCTTCTGGGCACCAGACCTGTGAGAAAATAACCGTCTGTCGTCGATGCTGCCTGGGACGCGCCTTGTCGTGGCGACAGCCTGAGCAGCCTAACGCTCTGTCTTCTGTTGTTTATGCCCGTGACAGGCCTCTTGTAGGTTTGGGTATGATTCCAACAGTGACCAAAACAGACAAAAATTTCTGCCCTCAGGAGCTCACATTCCAGTGTGGGGAGCCAAATATTAAATCTGTGAAATGAGTTAGATATAAAAAGGGAAGCTATTTCTGCCTGTTAGCAGCTGTCGGTTAAGAGAAACGCCACACGGCTTTGCCTGAAGAGCTGAGAGGCTACTTAAGCTGCTTCGAATGTTTCAGGTCTTCACACTGTGAATATCAGTGCTTCTTTGGGACCGGGGTTATTATCCGAATGTTAAAATCATCAAGGGATTTTGCATATGATCTCTTGTCTGAGGAGCTGAGAGATTTTAGGATACATCTAAGCTATTTGATACACAAATCTTTAAATGCTTAGTGTTTTTATGAGCTGTGGTCAGAAATACGGTGAATGCCACTGTTGAGTGCCATGCAGCCAGAAGGCGACTCCTAACAGTGTTACAGGGCGTCCTCAGCCACTTCATCCGCCTGCTCTGACACTGGGTGGCTTCCGGCTCTTCCTTGACGTCAGTGTGACCACGAAAAGAAATGTTTTGAATTGATTTAGGACGAGACAAGTGTGGCAGGCAAAAAAGGACTCCAGAACTGCTTCACAAAGTGCAAAACCAATAGAATAACTGTATTTAAAGTGAGGAGGAGTATTTTGAAAGGAATTAATGTGTCTTTTATTGTAATAATTTTTTAAAAACCACTGTTTTTCTCCCACATCTCGTATAAGTAGATTCATAGTGTTTAATCCTTGTTCTTACTGTCTGAGGCTTGGTTGTGGGAGTGTCAGTGTGTCTGCTACTCTTGGCAGGCGGGAGAGTGAGAGGGGCGGCTCTTTACAGGTGTGTAAGCCGAGGCCCGGGGTGAAACTGTGTGGTGGACTCACTGCCCAGGATGGCTGCGTTGTTCAGTTTTGTGGTTTCTTGGTGTTTTCATTTCAAATTCAGTTTGTTGAAATTCTTGGCTCTGTTTCCTTTGTAAATCATCCTTTGGGAAATGGTACCTTTAAAAAATTACGTCAGCTAAGAATTGTATACAACATCTTTTTCTGCGTAGTAGTTTCGCAATTATTTTTAAGAAATGGATATGGTATACGATTTAGTTCTAAAGTGTTTTTAAGAAGTCCTGTATCTAAAAGGATTTTTGTAACTCCATTTCATAATAAAATGGGAGCCTTGGGTACACAAAGTTTGAGGGATTATTTTTTTTAATTTTTTTTTTTTTTTGGTGGAACCAAGGATTGAGCTCAGATCCTTGCGTTTGCCAGTCAAGCGCTTATCCTAGTGAGCCATCTCCCTGGCCCCAAAATTGAAGGATTAGAAATTGACAGCCAAGTCCATTGACTGTGTGGCAGGGCCACCATTCCTGCGTCCATGTGCAGGGCAGTAAAGTTGAAACATTGGGAATGCACCCCATTTACCATGGCTGAAAAACGGATGTGGGCACTGTGTCACCAGCACAGCTGGGGCCCGGCGGTGGGCAGGAGTAGGTCTTCCTGGGTGTGTTCTTTCAGCACGTGTTCCTAAATAAAGAAGCAAGACGGAAGTGGTTAGATGCCATTAGAGACCTGCCAGCCCCCTCTGCGGTGCAGCCCCCTCTGCGGTGCAGCCCCCTCTGCGGTGCAGCCCCCTCTGCGGTGCAGCCCCCAACCTGCTCACCCACACAGGAGCTGTTCTCTGGGAACCTTCCCATCCTCCAGCACCCAGCAGGCACCCGTCCATCTCCTGTCTTTCTCAGCAGCATGTAAGACTATCCTGCCTTCTCTCTCTTTCTCATTTATTTACGTATTTGGTACAGGGTCTTGCTATGAAGCTTGGACTCATAGTGATCCTCCTGTATCAGCCTCCCCAGTCCTGGGATTACAGGCATGTGCCACCACGCCCCGTTTTGGTAGCCAGCACGGCTCTGGGGCCTGTGCAACATGCAGTGCTGGGGATTAAACCTGGATCCTTGCACTTGCCAGGCAGGCATTTAGACTGCTGAGCTATCTCCTCAGCCCTCCTGCCTTCTCTCTTAAAGATGTCTTCTTCCTTGACCCACATTCTCTTTTTCTGTGCCAGCCCAAGTCTCCTGTGAAAGATGTGTTTAATTTTATAATTCCTGTGTGCGAAACACAGTTACTTCATCTTTCCTTCTCAGGTGACTTTCCAGTGAATCAGGGAGACCCGAGACAAACTTAAAGGAAATTGCTTTTAGGATCTAGTGTGTCGAGGAGGAGTGTTGGCTGGTGCTGCAACAGAAAATGCATCCCCAGCCAGTGCACTGCATTTTGTTAGTTTTAGTTCTGGTTGCTCCGGTCTTAGAATCCAGGGATCACTGTGAGGGACATGGTGTAAGCCAGTCCCCAACCGACAAGCCATTCTGCTTGTGCGCTGCCTGCTTGCACAGCCCGTATAAGCCCTCGACCAGCAGAGGTCAGGCCTGCTACCCTGCGAATGACCCTGATCAGTGCCATGGGCGTGAATTGGTCTGCCTTGCGTCCTGGCTGTCCTTGTGTTTCTGCTTGCTGTTGCAGTGCAGAGTAAATCCTTATTGACCTTTTTATGGGTTACATTTACTAAGAGTTCACAGTTTAGGTAGTTGAGGTTATATCAGTTTATTAATGTATCTTAATGGACAGGTTTTCATAGCACAATGATCCATTTTAAAGTGAGCAGCTGAGAGGCATTTAGATGTTCACAGTGCTGTACAACCATCGCTTGTGCCTCGGTGGATGCTTCCATTACTCCAAAAAGAAACCCTGTTTTCAGCAAGCAGTTGCACTCTGTCTCCTGTAGCCCTGATGACCACAGCTCCGCATTTGTCTCTGTGGATCCAACCTGTCCTGGTTATTTCATAGAGTAGAATCACTTAGCTTTGTTTTCCTGGCCGCTTTCACTCAGCTTGTTATTTGAGCTCCAGAGTGTAGCAATGCATCTTTGTTTCTTTTGGCTGAATAAGGCTGCCTTGGTTTATCATTTGGTAGATGGAGTAGATCCCCTTTTGGCTGTCAAGGGTAATGCTGCTATGTGTATTTTTGTTTGAGTTCCTCTTTGCAGTTCATTTGGGTGAATGCTTAGGACTAGAGCTGCGGGGCCATGTGATGACTGTGTTTAGCATTTTGAGGGACCATGAAGCTGTTCCCTAAGAGCCAAGCCATGGTACATTTTTACCAACAATGGGTTTCTTCATATCCTTGCTGATTCTGTTCTGGATTAGAATGGCCTGTGGGTGTGAAATGGTGGCAGCCCAAGGGTGGGGAGATAGCTCAAAGGACTAAGTGCCTGTTTAGGCAAGCACAGGGATGCAGGGACTGGGGTTTGATCCCCAGCACCACATGCTGCTCTGGCCCCTCCTCCGGCGTGGTGAGCTGGCCCTGGAGGCTGAGGGTAGTAGCGCACCCTGGGGAGGCCGAGACGGAAGATCACTATGAGTCCGAGCTGTGTAGTGAGGTCCATAGCAAATACATTAAAAAAAAAAAAAAAGAAAAGAAAATCGTGGCAGCCCATTGCAGGGCGTGTGCCTTTCCCAGATGCTGGCCGCCGCGTGGGCTTATTGGCTCTTCGTAAGTCTTGGAGAAATGTCTCTATATCCTTTATCAGCTTAATTGCACTATGTTTGATTGTTTCGTTCTGTGTGTTTTCTATGTGTTGCAAATGCTGAGGGCTGTCTCCAGCCTCTGGGTTAGTCTGGGGAGGTTAGTGAGCTGTGGGTGATGAAGGAGGAGCGCGTTGCACGTACTTGCAGCTTCCGAAGTTTTCAGTTATATCAGTTTTAAGTAGCTAACCTGGGTTCGGTTGTAGAGTTGGATATTATTGAGGTAAGAAGAAAAATGAAAATTAAATATTTCTTACCATTTTGTTGCAAAAGGTACCTTAAT